TTTTGTTGCCAGGCTGGAGGACAGTAGCATGATCTCAGCTCACTGCAACCTCCGCCTCCCAGATTCAAGCCATTCTTCTGCCTCAGCCTCTCAAGTAGCTGGGACTACAGCCACACGCCACCACACCCAGCTAATTTTTGTATTTTTAGTAGAGACGGGGTTTCACCATGTTGGCCAGGATGGCCTCGATCTCTTGACCTCATGATCCACCCACCTCGGCCTCCCACAGTGTTGGGATTACAGGTGTCAGCCACCACACCTGGCCAAGAGCATTTCTTATAGTGTTACTTGTAAACATGAAAAGCAAGAATCACCCCAAATTTTTTTCAATGAGCAATTCATTAAATAATGGTGCATCTATATAGAGGATGCTAGGGAGCAGCTGCTAAGCTGGGAGGATTTCTAAGCACTGACATGGGTAGACAGTCAGGATGCTCTGTGATAAAATGCAGAACAATATAAGGGTGATGTCACTGTTATAAGATTAACATTGGTAGGATTTTTAATACATGTAGAAAAAGGTCTGGGCTGCTCTGCCTATGAAGTAGTTGTTCTTTTATTCCTTTACTTTCTTAATAAACTTGGTTTCCTTTAAAAAAATAAAAATAAAATGGGCCGAAAAAAAATATGAAACTGTCAGCAATGTCTTTCACTACCCACCCAACTGTTAACAGATACTATATTGAGGACCTTAACTTTCTACTTTTTTATTTAAAATTTTATGTAGTAATCATTACTTTTGAAATCAGAAAAAAGAAAATGATAAAATATGAAAGGAAACTAGGTGTGGCGGCTCACACCTGTAATCCCAGCACTTTGGGAGGCCAACGTGGGCGGATCACTTGAGCCTAGGAGTTCGAAACCAGCCTGGGCAACATGCCGAAACCCTGGCTCTACAAACAATAAAAGCATTAGTCAGGCATAGTGGCCCACACCTGTAGTCCCAGCTATTCAGGAGGCTGAGGTGGGAGGATTGCTTGAGCCCAGGAGGCAGAAGTGCAGTGAGCCAGTATCACACTACTGCATTCCAGCCTGGGCAATGGCGCAAGACTCTATCTCAGAAAAAAATGAAAGAAAAGGAAGGAAACAAAATGGCATTGCCATACAATTCTCAGAAAAATTAGTGCTCAGTAAATATTGATAAATGAAGATTCATTAAACGAAAGAACAGTTACTGTTTTCTGTTTTTTTAAGAGACCCGTGGACTCCATCCCCGTGGTTCTTACCACCAGAACATTCATAAAATAGCCTCCCATCAGAGCATAGACTCCTCCTGAAGCTCCCACAAGATATCTGAGTGGGTCAAAGATGGAGCTGGCAAGGGACCCTAAAGAAATAAAACACAAAGGATCAGACATGACTATATGGATCAGGAAAGATAAATCTTTCTAATCTAAGGTAGACATTTGGGAAATTTGGCCTATTATATTAGCAAGCAACAAATCTGTTTTGTCCCTTTCATACCATAGAAGTATAGCTGTATATGCTAACTACCACAGTGTTTCTGAAAACATTGAATGTTCATTAGAACAGCAACATAACAGTAACAATGGAGAATTGTCTGGAGCCAGAATTACCACCAGTGTGATTTGAGGTAGTTAACTTTTCTGTGTCTCAGTTTCCCTACCTGCAAAATGGGGCTATTAACAGAACTTACCTCAATGGATTGTCAGGGTAAGTAAATAAGTTGATGTATGTTTCGTGCTTAGAATACTGCCTGATGTGTATTATAGATTTGTTAGCTATTCAGTTGGTGCAAAAGTAATTGCGGTTTTGCCATCACTTTTAAGGGCAAAAACTGCAATTATTTTTGCCTCAACCTAATATTATTGCAAAATATCCTATGTTTAGTCAAAACACCTGAGACAATCCAACATGTTACTATCTAATGGCTATCTTTCTCAATGAGCCATAATGTGCCCTCAGAATCCTTCTCAACATACCGTCCAATCAGATTCCCCAAGCAAGATGAATCCTATTTGCTAAACTCATCCTAGATTTGCTGGACCAAAACAAAGCTTTACAAACCACCTTATGCAAAGACTAAAATATTCTCTCTACACTGCTTAGTTCTATTACTTGGTCTATTCCTTTCAAGGCCGTCTTTCATTTCCTTAGTGTATAATACAATACAATACCTACTTTGTGCAAGAAAAAGTGTCTGTCCTTAGTAACTTTACAAAAAGGTGAACAAATGACTATTATAAAGTGCAAAATATAACAACTACTATGACGAAAATAAATTTATTGTAGGAGCACTTAGGAAGAAGTGATTTTCTAGGCAGAAGGCTGGAGTCCTTGCTACTCTGAGGAGGAGGAGATAACATTTTGATTAAACTTTGAAGAATCTTTAAAATTTGGCCAGACATGGCGGCTCACTCCTGTAATCTCAGTGCTTTGGGAGGCTCAGGCAGGAGGATTGCTTGAGGCCAAGAAGTCAGGAGTCTGAGACCAACCTGGGCTACAGAGTGAGACCCGTCTCCAAAAATATAAGAAAAATATTAGCCAAGCATGGTGGTACACACCTGTGGTCCTTGCTACTCAAGAGGCTGAGCTGATAGGATCACTTGAGCCCAGGAGATTGAGGCTGCAGTGAGCTATGATCATGCCCCTGCACTCCAGCCTGGGTGACAGAGGAAGACCTCCCTGCTCATTCCCACATACAAAAGGATTGGATCAGAAAAACAAAAGAGAAGAAGGTATTCAGGACTTGGAGAACTGTACAAGCAATGGCATAGAAACAGGTATATGGAAGACTGAAGATCAGTGAGAAGTAGTCCAGTAGGCCGGGCGTGGTGGCTCACGCCTGTAATCCCAGCACTTTGGGAGGCCATGGCAGGTGGATCACCTGAGCTCAGGAGTTCAAGACCAGCATGGGCAACATGGTGAAATCCCGTCTCTACTAAAAATACAAAAATTAGCCGGGCGTGGTGGCAGGCACCTGTAATCCCAGCTATTTGGGAGGCTGAGGCAGGAGACTAGCATGAACCCTGGAGGTGGAGGTTGCAGTGAGCTGAGATCGCGCCACTGCACTCCAGCCTGGGCAACAAGAGTTAGACTCCGTCTCAAAAAAATTGGAAAAAAAAAATATATATATACAGGGCCGTGCGCGGTGGCTCACACCTGTAATTCCAGCACTTTGGGAGGCCGAGGCAGGCGGATCACAAGGTCAGGAGATGGAGACCATCCTGGCTAACACAGTGAAACCCCATCTCTACTAAAAATACAAAAAATTAGCTGGGCGTGGTGGCGGGCGCCTGTAGTCTCAGCTATTCGAGAGGCTAAGGCAGGAGAATGGCATGAACCCAGGAGGCGGAGCTTGCAGTGAGCTAAGAACATGCCGCTGCACTCCAGCCTGGGCAACAGAGCGAGACTCCATCTAAAAAAAAAAAAAAGTTAGCTGGTTGTGGTGGCACGTGCCTGTAATTCCAACTACTGGAGAGTCTGAGGCACGAGAATCACTTGAACCCAGAAGGCAGAGGTTGCAGGGAGCCAAGATCGCACCACTGCACTCCAACCTGGTGACAGAATGAGACTCTGTTTCAAAAAAAAAAAAAAAGAAGTAGTCCAGAGCAACTTAGAGCAATGATTCTCAAATGCTAACCTATAGACTAGGGCTGGGGTGATTGTATCATAATCATATGAGAAATTTATGTTTAAAATAGATACAAATGTCTACTTCTGACCATGATAAGGTAACAAGAATAGGATTTGCTGTCTCACTTGAAAAAGCCAAAAGCACTCGACAACATATATGAAAGAATGGTCTTCAAGATACTACACCTCAGAAAACAAAACCAATAAACCCTTAGAGACAGGGAATCAGTTATTCATAGATGAGTTATCTGATTGCCCAGGTACTACCTTGAGGGAAATTACAGAATACAGTGCATGAAGCAGGAACCCAGGCAGATCTCAGCAAATTTTAAGTTGATGAGATGAAGTTTAGAGTCCAGATAGATCTGGACTGCTAGAGTTTATAAGACAGGGTACCACAGAGCAGAAAGCTGCATACAGAAAACTCTAGAAAGGAGCATGCAAGGAAATTACCCAAGCCAAGGAAAGAACCACCAAAAATGAAGTGGGAAGACTACCTGTTGCTTACACAGCACCAGAGAGGCTAAGTAACTTTCTGTACTGGAAAACTCTTGTTTCCACACATCATAAGTCTGGGCATTGTATGACACGTAAGTTACACCTCAATCTTAAAATGTGTCAGGACAAAACCACACACTGCAGAGGGGCAGGGCTCCACCACCAGTTACTCACTTCCCTTGAAACAGAAGCTCAAGTATGAGTAGTGTTCTGTGGCTAAGCTTGTTTTCCCTCCTTTCTGACTTCTAGGAATGATCCTTGTTCTGAACAGGATTTGAGGTAATGTAGGAAACTGCTCTCAATACAGAATTTTTAACTTGATGAAAAAATTGGAAAGAAGGGAAATCAGAGTAAGAAAATCAAGTGTGATCAGTATGAAGTTAGCATACAAAGGAAGTGCAGCAAGGCCCAGGCACCCCCTGAGAAGGGACTCAGGCGACAGCCAGAGGGGGGCCAGGCAATCAGGGGCATGTCACTAAGGTCAAAGGTGGGGCAGACCTTGGTCCCCTGCCCCCGTGGCCACCTTACCCAGGCCACCCCAATAGCATGAACTGTCCTACAAGGTTACCATACCTAGGGAAGATGGGGGGCGGTTTCTCAATGCTGGTGTTTGGTGAGCCCAAGAGTGCTCAGCTTTTACTGTCCTCCCTAACAGGCATCTGGGGCACAGGGATGCTGACCCTTGAACTCCTAACTGGAATTGGAATTCAGGTCCCTTGGGAACACTGGGCACCTAGGGACATGAGGGCAGGACTGGCCACAGCCAGGTTTCCCTTAGAAACAGACTGGTTGAATTAATGAACTGAACAAATGAACCGATGTGTTTTGCCCCAAAGAAAAATGAGCTTTGTCCTGGGTGGAGTGATTGCCTTTGAAAAGCCATCAAGGCCACCTGCCAACAGCCGAGAGCTGAGCTGCTGTGTTCCTGGCTGACTCTGGCCCTTCCAGTCCTCCTCTGGGTCTGCCCCAGTCCTGCAAGCTCATGGCCAGGGTGATAATGATGGTGGCAACACCATGGTCCTCGCTGCTCTTCCTGGGGCAGGAGGGCCCCAAGGACTGATAAGCCAAATCCAGGGCTGCCCTCCACTGCTTTTCTGCCCTGCGACTTTTCTCTAGGTCCTTTCCTCCAAGCAATGTGGGGATGTGTACCGGAAAATGCCATAATTAATGGATGTTGCATAGAGTACACAAAAGGGTCCAGTGGTAGGAATAATTACCTTCTTACCAAAAAGAATCAAACTGCTTCCAAGTAACATAACTGAGTTACAGAACAAATCTAAAAAGTATTTATGGCCTGGCACGGTGGTTCATGCCTGTAATCCCAGCACTTTGGAAGGCCAAGGCGGGTAGATCACTTGAGGTCAGGAGTTCAAAAGCAGCCTGACCAACATGGTGAAACCTCTTCTCTACTAAAAATACAAAAATCAGCCGGGCATGGTGGTGTGCACCTGTAATCCTAGCTACTCGGGAGGCTGAGACACAAGAACCCCTTGGGCCAAGTGCAGTGGCTCACGCCTGTAATCCCAGCACTTTGGTAGGCCAAAGCAGATGGATCATTAAGGTCAGGAGTTTGAGACCAGCCTGGCCAACATGGTGAAACCCCATCTCCACTAAAAACACAAAAATTAGCTGGGCATGGTGGCACACGCCTGTAATCCCAGTTACTTGGAAGACTGAGGCGGGAGAATTGCTTGAGCCTGGGAGGCGAGGGTTGCAGTGAGCCGAGATCCACCACTGCACTCCAGCCCAGGTGACAAGAGTTAGACTCTGTCTCAAAAAATAAATAAAAGAATCACTTGAACCTGGAAGACGGAGGTTGCAGTGAGCCAAGACTGTGCCACAGCACTCCAGCCTGGATGACAGAATAAGACTCTATCTCAAAAAAAATAAGTAAATAAACAAAAATAAAAAGTATTGGCCGTGCAGTGGCTCATGCCTGTAATCCCAGCACTTTGGGAGGTAAAGGCAGGCAGATCACTTGAGGTCAGGAGTTCAAGACCAGCCTGACCAACATAGCAAACCCTGTCTCTACTAAAAATACAAAATTTAACCAGGCAGTGGTGGCACATATCTGTAGTCCCAGCTACTTGGGAGGCTGAGGCAAGAGAATCGCTTGAACCTAGGAGGCAGAGGCTGCAGTGAGCCAAGATCACACCACTGCACTCCAATCTGGGTGACAGAGCAAGACTCCCTCTCTAAATAAATAAATAAATAAATATTTAAAAATTTAAA